CTCGTGTTCAGAAGCCAGCCCTCATCCAGCAAAGGCTGCTGTCGGGACAAGACCTGAGGCAATGGGGAGCCAGGAGGCTGCTATGGCTCAGCAGAGGAGGAGAAGTTAAATTTTTAACGAGTTAAACATTTTCTTAAACATCTTTCTGCAGGTACCTGTAGATGCTTACAAATAAGCAATCAGTAAATTGTTTTAGGTAGGTAGCGTGATGCACTATCACTCCATGGGACAAGGAATATTTAGCTGGCTAAAACTGGTTAAATACATGTCAGTGCTGGCTTTGCTAGGCAAGTGCCTCCAGGAAACCCTCCTACTGACCTTAGCAACAGCTTCAGGGATTACTTTATTTAAAGATCTGTTGCACTCACCTACAACAAAAATCCCTTCTCACCGCCCAACTAGAAGTCAGCTAGTTAATTTTACACTCGGATTAAGGCTAATACATCCTACACACACCGAGATTCACATTTCCTATCAGTTACATGACACAAGAAAAAATAAGAAGCAGCAGACAAAGGAAGGTAGTTACATGGTTATCTTTTGTCATCTTGATCAGCTGTTCCAAGGAGGCCCTAAGCTCATCTCCAGACATGGTAGACAGCACTACAGAATAAAACAGGGCTGCAAGCTCACGCATTTCTTCTTTGTTTGTGTTCATCAGGCTCTGTGGGAGTTTTTAAAAAGAAACATAAAACATGGAAGCAGCTCCTTACACAGTCTGTTCATACACAGCTTCAATATACAAGCACAACTGTTATGCAGCTACACAAATAGTGCTTAACTTAGAAACCACTCTTTAAACCAACAGCATTGTCATTTAGTAAGAAGCAAAGCACTCACTTCAGCAAAGCATCCTTCACACGCTCAGCGGTTAGGAGGAAGATTACTGCGAGCCACAAGAGGGGCTACCCACTGGCTCTGTGTTAAACACCGATTCAATGCTTGGCTGAATTTTCTCTTCAGAGAAGAGCTTCTACATTATACACTGATCTAAAAAAAACCCCTAAAGATACTATTTTTCCTGAGCTATTGGAGGCTCCCATTTCCTTTTTATTAATCAAATGGAAAAAAACCCAAACCCACCACACCTCAAGAGGTTAAACCCATTAAATCAAATGCTGACAAAATAAAAAGTGCCCAGGAAATCACAGCTCTCAGTGCAAATTTATCTACTTTGTATTAGAGAACTTGTACTATCTAAATTGTTAAAAAGTTGAATTTGGGAAGGCCCAAGTCATTTGTTAATATATAATCTTACTTCTGTTGTAACACAACACACTCACAAGAAAAATTCATACCCAAAGCTATGAATGGCTTACGGTATCACAAAGAAGGCAAAAATGAGCCAAGCAAACACACAAGAAATGAGATCTGTCAGGCTCATGAAGCATAACTTTAACTTCAACTGAAAACTTGCATCAGATACATAGGTGACTTCTAACAAACCCTTGGACCTGCTCTGTCTACTCAGCAAAGTGAAATCACACAAACAACGATTTACACTACAGTTTCTGGAACTATGTACCAGTTACCAGGTACCAGTTACCACCCCTAGAAGCTTAATTTTGCATATGGACACCAGGCCAAAGAAAAAGAAGGTTTTTTTCTGCAAACGATGAGCAATACTGAAAAGGAGAATGTTTTAAAGTCCTCTCCTTTGAGGTTCATACCTGCACTTAAATGTGATGTGATAAAATGCATACAGTGAAATGCAGCATAGATATCAGCAGAAGAAATTATTAGAACTCATTCTGATTTTTCTTTAACAAGTATTTTTTTCTGCCAGACTCCCCAAGTGAAAGCAAAGGCAACCTGTAAGAGCTTAGTAAATCCCGCGTGCTTGAAGCAAATCACAAAAAAGCAGAAAGTTGCCTGATAAGAGAATCCAAGGAAAGAATAATTCTCTTTGGCTTACTCCCAAGCAGGCTCCAGTTTATCTGCTTTTTTGTTTGAGGCTAATAAAAAAAAAATAGAAAAACCTCCACAGAAAGGGTTTTAAAACAATTAGGAATCTAACTCATCTCATTTTCAGAGAAACCCACTGGAACATTCCCATTGTTAAACAATTCCTTAAAAAAATTGCAGGATTTTGTTCTCAGTTTTCTTTTGCTGGTTGAAGGATCTTCTGATCAAGGGGAAAAACTGACTGACTACCAAAAAAACCAAACCTGATTGACTGATGTAGACTACCCAGAACATGCAGATCAATGAACAGAATCAGTAACACCAAAGAACCAAAATGTAATTTTCCCCATCCTGCTTCATGTAACATCTCATGAGGTGATGATTGTAGGTAGAAATACCAGAGAGTAATTTTCTCTACCTTGATACACAAAACATCTCATAGAGTGTTCACTTTAAGTATAAATACCAAATTTCAAATTAAGTGCATACTTTGAAATAACAGCTCCATTCCACCACGGGAAAATGCTAGATTTTGCTAACGCCAAACCCGTTCCACCCAAAAAAACAAACAGAAAAAGGGTTTCCAGCATACCTTTATCCAGTCCATTTTGTCTACAAATCTGGTGGCTAGTTTTTCTGGATACACTGACACAACTTCTAGAAGACAATACATGACTGGCAAACCTAAACAGTAATTAAAGAATCAGGTTACTATACAATTGCAGTATTTACAACAATCTAACAAACAGTGCTAGAAAGAGGTTAAGAAGTACCAGGCATTTCAAAGCATTCATTTGCAATAGACTAGGGATAACAAACAATACAGAATAATAGGGTATGGTACTTCTCAGAAATACCAGGGAAAGGAAAATAAGTAAACATTCTGGTAGCAATTTGTTCTAAAGGCATTCAAGTGCTTTAAGACTACACTTGTCACAGATACACTATTATCAGAGTGACGAAGACATAGCATTTAACTGTGAGGAAGCTGTTACAGACAATGGCCTCACAATTTTATGCACTATATCAACCAATGCTGCAATTTTACTGTCCTGCTTCCTCCCACCTAGACAGCAGCATAGAACAAGTTTAAACTGAAGAGTTCATAGTCTGTGTTGCAACTCTGTGATTGCTGCAGCCAAGTTCAAAGCACTAGGTGCTGGCAACTCATTTCTAGTAAGAAAAGACTATTCTTCAAGATGATGATGCATACAGCTTCTTACCTCCAACACCAGCTAACAGCTGCTGAAGAAGGCCAATATATATATGTACAGGGTTGGTTTCTGCACTTTTTGAAGAGAAAGATATGTGGTTGCCAGACATGAGGTTCCTTATGTAACGTCCAATGGCTGGAGCATGATCTTGCATATCTGCCAAGTTCTGTGAGGTTGGCACCACACCTGCACTGTGAGCAAGACACATCCGCAGATACAGAACTATCTAAGTAGAGAAGAGAAAAACCAGGATACTGAGTGTGTGAGCACTTGGAAAAGCATGAAAGAGACAAGATAAAAGAGCAGGGAATTTGCTGCACTTAGTGTAAGCAAAACAATACAGTTTCTTCTTTAATCAAATCTAGACAGAAGACACATAGACAGGAACAAAAATGTAGTGTAACAAATCTTAGGACCAGTTTCTGCAATACACCTTGTAACTCCACAGTGCCTACATTACTCTGAGAAGATTAAATTATACACAGACTTTTGGTTTATCATAGGCTGATGCAACCTCCTTGCAGGCAGGTCAGCCTGTACCCTATACCAATTTGGCATGCGTACAAACGCAACTTGATGCATTGCTAATACAGACCTTGCATCACTTCTGAGTCTGTCTCTACAGATCACTGGAGCCAAGGAATCCGCTACAAAAAGAACAGCCTCAAGGAGCATAACAGGACTTTTGCACAGGATTGCCAGTTTCTCCCTCTGAGATGCTCCCTCTGACATTAGGTATGCTGCAGAAAGCACTGGAGCAGCCCTCTCGGGAACATTCCTCCCACCCCCCTTGAAAATCCTGTTCAGACTGCCGTTTAAGGACAGACAGATAAAGGATGGAGAGTTAATCCCAACACCTGTTTAAAAGAGGAATTTTAGAATGTAGGGTGACTTATGGTCACTGTTAGCTTCTTACAGTGTCCTCTAAATAAATAAAGGTACACATATCCGAGGAAGTAAATCCAGATAATTACCTCTCCAAATGTGGCAGGATTGAAAGGCAACGCTGCAGTCCCAGTCATATATTTAGCTGGAGTTTTCATTCGGTGAGAGGCCTAAACAACAGAGTATATTAAGACTGCAACAGTCAGACCCATGAATGGCAGAGATGTTGGAAATGTCAACAAAATTTTGCTGATGCAACTATGTTTACCCTCTACTTAGCAACTGAAAATGTGCAACAGTTCTATAACAAGAAGGGCACAGTGCATTTGGTAATAGTACAGTTTAGGTCCATCAACTTTACGTCTCTATCCACTCAGAAAGTGGAAACTCTGAATTCATGAGAGGGAATGGCAGGGGAGGCTGGAGAAGGACAACATTCTTTCTTTCCCTCAAGAAAAAAGAAGTGCTTTAGAATTTAAAAACAAAATACATCATAAACTTCCAAACTCTGAGACGCCCCAACTGACAGGCAGCCAGGAAGCTTGGAGACGGCAGCTCTGCCTGGAGAGGCTGCAGAGCAGCCAGGCTTCCTCAGTACAGGGAGGTGAGCACCCTGTGCTGCACCAGCCAAGCCCGGGGAGTCCCTCAGACCCTGCTACCTGCTAGGTAGAGGGCTGCTGCAGCAAGCGAGCAACTGCCCTCCATAGAAGTGTTAGCTTTGACAAGCAGAAAAACATCTGAACAGAAGGTTTCCAGTAACACTCACTGCAAATGCTGCAAAAAAGCACGTCCTTATCCTTTAGGCAACGGGCACATCAGTGCTAGGGCTAGATTCAGCAAGGCAGCCTTGCATCTTTATCCAGTTGCACAGAAATCAACAGATCATCCCATGTCTTAACACGCTCAGAACTTTTGCTGCACTGTAACTTTAATGACATCCAGCACCATTAGTGAAATCCTGAATTAGTGAACCAGATGATGACTTCCTTGAAGAACGGGTTCCCATCCATAACCAGCAGATCAGGTCCTACTCTTCTGCACATACCTTCTCGCAGAGGGAGAGAAGGATCACGCTAACTCATGCAGGAAGTTATTTTGCATCTTAGCCTGCTGTGCCAAGCAATGCACACAAACTTCTCAAACATCTCCAACACTCAAAGATTATTCATGATACGTGAAAATTTACACTTCAAGATAAGGAACCGAACAAATGTACCTCCAGGATTTTTTTAATAAGCCTTGAGGACAAGTAAGGAAGAACTGAAAAGTGCTCAGAATTTTTATTTTGTTTTTAAATTCACCCAGGAGTGACGGAATCTTGTTTTTCTCATTAGCGATTGAACTAGACTGACCCACAGTTATCTAGTGACATTACAGAAGTCAAGGAAAATTAAAAAATTAATGGCAAGGGGACAGGCACATACTTCATGTATACACTAGGGGAGTACACCAGCAGAGTACAACACCAGCAGAGTATATCACATTTCACAAGAAATCTTTCAGGTTTAAGAATTCTACTGTCACAGATCGCTTGCAAAACCAGATGTGCTCCAACATTATATACTTCTTTCTTTTTTTTTTCTAAAGTAGACTATCAGAGGAAAAAACCAGTATTGTCACTGACCCTCCACATCTTTTTATAGCTTGTAAGACTAGCATAGCTAATATACACAGAAGTGTGTAACACAGACAAGATTTTAACACCTCTCCAGGTAATCTCTCAGTGCAAACAGTGATGGTACATTAAGTGGTACAGTTTTTGGCATATCATTCCACTAGATTAATGAAGACTTATTTACATGGCCATTGTTTCCACAGATTGCAATGAAGATTAATAATTAAGCCTTTAAAGTCAACAAAACAGACTTCTTTACCTGCTCCAGCATCTCCTTCCTTGCCTGGAATGCTTTTTCTGTTTTATGCACAATTTTATTTTTCACCAGCCCAACCAGAGAGTGACCTTCCTATGCCTTCAAGAATGTGCTTGCGAGTAAACTGTGTTTGTGAAACAGGACTACCACCCTTGAATACTGGACTCCTCTCTCCACACATCATCTGCACAAACAGCACCAAAGCAAAATAATCCCTTCGTTAAACAATCTGCCTCCTTGTTACTTAACACTTGGATCTCTTGCAATTATTGCCAGCAGAAGGTAACCATTAGTACTGATCTTGGTAGTGCAATACCATGTAAGGTCTTCACTGTGATTTTGGCTAACTTTATCCCTTGGAGGAGGTGAGTGAGAAGGATACAGGGAAGGGAAAATCACACTAACTACATGCCTGAGCATCAGGTATATATTTCTCGTTTACTAGGACAGAAGCACTGTACCTTGTCTTGAATGTAATGGACCATTTCAGGGAAGGAAGGCATCTGCTTCCCAGAACTCTCCTTCTCGTTTTTACCAGGAAATGTTCTCAGCACTTGCTGGGCTTCTCCGTGCACCTCCTCCCGCCTTTCAGAAGAAAAAAAAATGAGAAACAGACGTTATTTGACCAGGACAAATTGCCTTTAATGAGCAAAAAGATACCCTGGGAAGCTCAGGGAGGGAGAACAGTTTTTAAATGAAGAGTAGTTTTTTTGAAAGGAAGGGGAAAAAACCTTGCATTAGAACTTCTAACAATTTGTTTATTTTGGAGAGGAGGAAGATAAAAGAACAGCAATGAGCGGTCTCTGCAAAACAGTCTGGATCAGCCCACTTCCACTCCCCTTAACATCCTGCTAGTGCTCACCACCAGCTCCTGGTTCCCACATCCTTGTTTTCCTATGTGCTCGTCCTCCCTATTACTTCCTATATTCAAGCTTCAGCTGACACCTACCAAGTTTATCACTATCTACTTAGCAGAAGATCAACTCCTGGAACAGTGCTGACACTGCAATGACAGAGTGGCTTGTTGCAATTGATCTGTTTAGCTTTCCTTAGTTACACAATAGCTACTCACACCAAAAAATCGAGCAATTAAAGTAAGCTGGAAAAAAAACCCCAGCACTTAAATTGCTGTATGAGAAAACTGCAAATGAAATTATTACTGTAATTTAAAGAGTCAACTGCTCCTTAGCAGAGAGTGGCAACTCTCACAAGTGCATTCTCCTGACTCTTTGCAAATACAAGCTGAAATAGACTGACAGACTTTACCAGGAAAACACAATAATTTCTAGCCACGATAAAGGTGATTTCAGTTAATGCATTTTTACTTTGCAACTGCAATTGAACATTAAGTGCTTTAGTAACAGCAGTTTATCTGAAACAAGAAAAAGAATTCAAGTCAAACACTACCATAAGGCACAGTACAGTATTCCACAGAACTGTCAAGAATGCCACTGTGTAAAGGTTAATTTCAAAATTATCATACTTAATTTTCAGTGAGTGAAGTTTTATGTACATGCATACATATACACATATATATATGCATTGATATTTAATCCAAATATATATTGGACACAAATATATGTATGTGTGTGTGTGTATATCTGAAAATAACTTAAAAAGGAAAACAACTTACGGGTCTCCTGCAGCTAACAGGAGTAAGTATCTGGAAGGGATATGATCTGGAGGGAATACTGTGCTGGCAAATTTCACAGCCACTTGACGTACTTGAACTTCAGGCTTAAAGAGAAGAGACAGAAACATACGGTTGAGTTTCCAATGAACACCCTAAGGACCTGCACTCACCACTTGGAAATCATCAGTCATCTGTTTTGTCCTCTGGTACCAACGTGACATTTTGAGACACTGTTCTTGCTAACTCTTCACGTGGCAGGAGACAGGGAAAATAAAAGCTAGCTTCTCATATATATGCAAGTGGAGAACTAGATATTTAATTAAATACATGCACAGTTTTGGGAATCATAAATCAGAGTTATTGCTAATTCTCAGACATGTGAACTGCCCCACCCAGGCGGTTTTGAAATGAAGAATGACATACATCATGTATCCACACAAAACAGGGCTGTGCTTCAGAGCAGCACAGCCTGAGGTGGAAAAGAAACATGAGCTTAGGGTGGTCATTCTCTCGGCTGGGTTCAGATAGTCTCAAAATGGTATGGCCTGGAGACCTAAACTGCTCCAGCACCCAGGCAAAAGAGTCATCAGCCTGAAAATAGGTTCTTACACAGTTACTAGTGCAACCCCTAGAAACATGTATACCTCCGCAGCCACCCTGAGTACCCATGCAAACACAGAGCATACAAAAAACTCTCTTTCTGAAAACCCAGACTCCTGGGGAATTCTGAACACCAACAAAGTGCTCAGTAAAGTAAGAGAGTCAGTGAAGTGTAGTTTCTTCTGGATTAGTGTCTCAAGGCTGTTCCTGGGGAGGTTCGCAGGTGCCTTGTAATGTTAGAAATCACACAGCACACTGAAATCTCCACTTAGCAGCGAATGATCCTTTCTACCAAACTCGCTTTCACAAAGCATTTCACAAGATACTATCCTTGAAGCATCTATTTCTTGAAGTTTTCTTAGGAGGAGACTATGAGGAACATACAGCACAATTGCAACAGCTTCATTTCTTTGTAAAACAGAACACAAATAGAAAACTGCACTGTCACCCTCCTTACAGCCACTGTACCATATTAAAAATACTTCATCTGAGCACACACACCCCACCCTCTCCCAGACAGGCCAATACATTCAGTAAGAAAAGGGAGACCTGTTCCAAAAAGTATACAATGGGAAGTGTCAAGAAACAGGAAAACAATTAATAGCTCTTTTTTTTAAAGGTACATAATTTTGACAGCACTGAAAATACCTTTATTAAATAAGAAGCTACAAGAGCTTCCATCAGGGTACGCTGAGCTCCTTCCAAGTTACTGTATGCTCCAACCATCATAGACAAGGCCTCCTGAATGGCAAGCCTAGTATCAGCATCTTCCTGCAGTACAAAACCAAGAGTTTTCACTTTACAGTGTGCAGTTACAAGAATTAAGCAAAACCAGCACAAAATACTTCCCAAAGCCCTGTCAGCACCCACCTTGCATAAAGCTTCAAAAAACTGCTGTACCAGTGCTATATCCTTGGTAAAGAGCTGAGGCATTCGGCTGAAACAAGATATTTTAATTAATTAAGTTTTTGGTTTTTAAAATTGAAATGCTTCACATTTAATTGGTCTTCCCTTCATCTCACACTTTAACAGCCAAACCAAACAGACCAGCACAGAAAGTTTGCTCTATCATATGCATTTCCACCATGGAGCAGCACATCTTCCCCTTAATACAGTTTGGAAAGTAAGATATTCTATGGGCAATCACTTAGACCACTAGCATACCATTGAACATGCCACTTGTTTAGCTTCACACCCTCTGGTCTTTGCTGTACATCCCTCAGATTTATGTTTCTGGCAATCAAGAAAGTGGAACCATTTCTTAAATTCTGTGCACAGTTCAAGACCTGCCATTGATCACTGCTAGAGAAGCCATCAGCTAAAAACATACTTCTTTTTACATCTCTGGAGATGTCACAAAAAGAAGGCTTTTCTCTGCACTGTACGCTCAATTGCAAAATTGGCAGGTGGCATAAAGTTTGCTGCTGATAAATTAACAGATTTATTGGGAAAAATTATTCAATGTCGCATTGCTTGAATGGTGCTTCAGTTACCTGGAGAGCTTTCCAACCGCTGAATATGCCATTGACAGCAGTTTTGAATCCTTGAATGATAAAATGACACATAAAATTCAGCAAAACCCAGAAATACATAAAGGAATATCTTTTATAATTAAACATTCACTTTAAATCCTGTCTCCAAAGTGCTCAAACATGCTTTCATGGATAAAGAATCCTGGAACACAATATAATTGTATCCAAGAACAAAAGCATTATATAGGAACAGAGGGAGTATGCTCTTCCACTAGAAACAGAAAATCACAAACGGTGACAAAACGTAAGTCTCCATTCTGGTCTCAGCTAATCGCATTATATTTCAAGAGAAACAGAGAAGGAGATTCAGCAAGTGTATGAAACAGTAGCAAAGGGACAGACACCTTCCACTGGCCCTACACAGCAGCTTTACTCAAAGGGAACTGTTTGCACAATGGATCCTGCAGATGACCAATGCAGCACATTTATATATGGGCTTATCTCCTTCTGGACACTGCTTTTTCATGCCCTTCCAATGGCAGAAGAGGGTCAAGCGTTCAACACCAACTCAGGCCAGAAGGTCACATCCAACAGTTCAAATGAAGCAGCCAGAGGATCAAAGCTGCAGAAGAGGTGGTCTGCAACACCAGCCCTTCATTAAGATACACGTAGGAGTATCGTGGAGAATTTGCCTTCTGAAATGGCACAGGTAAAACCTCTTCAGGCCACAATGGCATTTGCAGTTCTGTTTGTAACAGTGTCATCCCTGGACAGAGAGGATGGAAGGTATTACAAGCAGGCCTATACAGCTGCTTATCACAACGGGGTATATGCCTGGAGTTGAAGTCCCTGTGTGCTCCAGAGCAATGAGTAACAGCAGCTAGATGCTACTCTGGCCTCACTCTTTACATTATCAACACTATTACTTCCTGAGACTTTTGTAAATAGTGTCAAAGCATCTATCCACAGCTTTTAAACAAATAAAACAGTTTTCATATATCGCCTTTTAAAGTATTTGTTTATCTTCCAACAAAATTTCTTAAAAATTATCCTTTGATAGCCATCTCAGGCAACTACAAAAAGGAGACTTATCAGTTTCCATCATAAAGATATTTGTCTTTTGCTTGTATTCATATGAAGAATTATAGCTCTCTAGTATAAGAACCTTTCAGCTTACCTCTTTGTATTCATTGATCAGTTTTGTAAGTCCATTTAAAAGCATTGGGCCTAATGGCTTTATTTTACTTTCTGGACAACTGCAATTAGAGACATCAACAAACAAAAAATTATCTTTTGCATCCCTTAAAAGTATATTCTCTCAGTATCACTTTTTCTCAACTTTGTTAGGCTAAGAAATCACAGCTTAATGTGTGCAAGCACAAGCACACACACAGACTTCAGGATTAAGGAAAAAAACCCTACTTTCTATGAGTTTTAGTACTCTTTCTTTGCCCTTAGTTCACTTATATATTTAGTAAACAGAGTGGCTTCTAAGCAAATAGCTGAAAAACATTGTGCTCACACCAAATTACTTACATGATACAAATATGATGCACAAACTGCAAGGACAGACTTCTCAGTTTTGCATTTGTGTTTGCACCAAAGAGTCCATCATAAACCACCTGGCCAAAAGGAATAAAGAGCAGATCAGAGAGTGCCTGGCCTCACTTTCAAAGGTTTTCTAATTCCTCTTCTTCTTTAAACACTGTCACCAGTGTTTCCCTCGTCTAAGTACTGGAGAGACTGTATTAACAAGCTCATTAGGAAGAACATCTTTGGAATATAAGCATTACCTGAATGTTAGCTGGGAACGTTTCTGCAGCTTGCCTGGATCGCAGAAGATGAGGAACAATCTTTAATTTCACACGGGTGCTGACTGACTCTCGTTTCATTTCTGGTTTCAGAACAGATCCCTGTCAGAAACAGAGTTGAAGTAATACAGAATGCCTTTGGACAGCAGTACTTTTAAGTTAGCTGAATTACCTTCTACTGCAAATCAGAACACACGGAGACAGAGAAAAAACATATTCAAAAGCAAAAATGTGCAGTGAAAGCAGAGATCAAAGGAGTGATAGATTTGAGAAAAACATGCATGTCTTCTTCAAATACAATAAAGCAACTAAAATTACACCTTCAAAAATTAACCAGGTCTGCAACTCTGAAGGCAAATCTTACCTCCTTGGTTTTCAGTGGTATATCCCCAAGATACACTTTATACATCTTGTTGATGATAGCAGGATTGTTCCAGTCAATTAAACTAAAGAAAAAAACACATTGAAGACTAACATGTTAAGATCCTGATCTTTGATTATTTTTTAAAATATACGTTTACAGCATTTTGCATCATATCGTATTCTTCAGAGTTTTAATAGATCTAGTTTGACTTCTCATCACTGCACCCTCATCCACGTAACATATAATCACAAAGAATGTGAACTGATTACAAATTTCACCTACAAATTCTGACAATATGACTCCTAATAATTTGTGAGAAACCTACATTCTCAATTCTTTCCCACTGAAACAAGACATATAAAACATGGTAGTCTACTGACTGAATACAGAATGGTCATCTGTTACCAAATTTCCCCACATTCTTCGACCTTGGTGTTTTGACATTTCAATAGAGAAGACAGCATTTTTAATTCTAGGACTATTTCACCTTGGTCTCTCAGACAAACTTGTCTGCCAATAATAACCATTCTAATGATAGCTATTGATGAGATTGTTTACAACACATACCCAAAACCCACTCCATAGAAACCAAGAAAGTTAAGCATGCATGCTCCAAAAAAAGTGGAGAAGACAGAACCATCTTTTTCCTTCAGTAAAACAATCGATTTCCAAACAACTGAGCTGTGAAGTAGCATGAAGTTCTCATAAAATACATTTAACACTGCATATTAACATGCATTTTGTCCACACATGTTATTTTGCTCTTCAAGCAAATACCAATGCAAAGGGGAAGATGAGGCAAGGAGCAAAGGAGAGACTGACTTCCTTAACCAGGCTGTCGTCACTAGATCCATCTCCCCTGCTACGACTGAGGCACATGAATAGACTCGAATGGAGAAGGTTTCACATTACATATTTGACTCCAAGTTAAACAGTCTTATACACAGAAGCCACCTACTCATTTCAAAGGCAGGCCTCTCTCACTTCAAATCTACAACATGAGCCAGCAAACCCTGCACTATCAGTGACTCAGCAAGTAGTACCAAAAACAATTACTCTGGCTTCTTGAGGAGTTAAAGACAGAAGCACTGTCTTTAGATAATGAAAGGTGGACTGCAGATGTAAAAAAACTTTAATAATACAGACAACAGTGGCTGCCAAACTTCCTAGACTATGGTCCACTTCACAATTACATTCTCTTTACCCCCTTAATAAATTAAATTAAAGTATACTTTTCCGGGAAAGACAATATAGATAAGTTGGACAGCTGCTGAATCACTTATTGAGGCCTTATTGACCACTGATAATCCACAGAGGGCAATTTTGAAACCAAGAAGTAAGAAAATGGCTCAAAAGTGATACCAAAGATGACTGAAAACAAACAGCTAAAGCCGTCAGCTCTAGAGCCAAGTGATATTCCCACCTGCAAGACTGTGACCCACACCATTCCCAGCCCTGTGTGAATACATGGCAGTTTCACAGGCACGTGGGGGGCTGCAGCCCTCCTTTCAGAGCACAGTCTCTCTGGAGCACTACATTAATTGCAGCTAGCTTTGTTAGGAACGCTAGCACCATCTTTTCCAAATATCCAAACATGTACCTTTGTTTGCTCTTTAGTTCAAGGTCTGCTGCAGTGGCAACACTGTGTCTTGTATCACTGGAGGCTACAACCAGGTGTATAACAGCTTCAAGTTCTGGCACTTGCTCAGCTTCAATGAATTTCACTATCCCCAGCTTACACTGTTCAACAGAGGGGAAAGTAAAGGCAGTGTTACTGGCAAGAAAGCATATGTTAAAACAACCACAGCAGTTCTGCTGTCTGACATGATGGCTTCTGCTTGCTAAGAAGTTCAAATCCTCTCCACTTCTTTAGCAGCACCCTCCTCTTGCCTCCTGTCATAGCAGTCACCTGTGGCCAAGTACCACCATTACTATGAGGGATGCTCTGGTACTGCTCTGCTAAAAAGGGACACTTCATCAACATAAGAGGGTTTTGCAACCTTACTATCTTTAGGAGGAAAATGCAAGAGTAAGCTATGGTTGCTTTCTAACCAGCTCTGAGAGCTGCTGGCACCTCCCACCCCATCTCACTGTTGCAAAGTTCCTGCAAAGTCCTTCAACATTCCCTCAGGGCAACTAAAGACCTGGTCAGAATTAGCTTCGTATTAGCTGTCTGTAGGCTCCCTGTTACCACACCTAGTTCACGAAGGACCAGCCAGGCAACTGCAAGTACCTGTTCCAGCAGCTCTGGTGTCCATGGGCTATCTCCAATTACCCTTTTGGCTGCATAAAAGCTCATCCCTGGAGGCGGCTGAGGGATTCCGGGACCTCCCACGCTACTTGATGAAGAGCCCTGGGCAGAGGGCATGTTTTGTCGACTCTGAGATTCATTCAATACAAACCTAAGCAGGTAAGGAAAGGAGTTTCATTAGAGGCTTTACCAGTCCACACTGCCAGCTGAATTAGATGCTGGAACGGAGGAACAAACATAACCTGTCCAACTTCACGCATTCTTCCTTAATTAATCCCACGATTCTGATATAAGACAGAGTTTTACTCAGTCGAGACTCAGGTACCAGTTATCCCAGCACGTTCTGCAAGAGCCATAATGGTTTCATTATAACTGTTTGAAAACAAACTTCAGTTAGGAAAGGGCCCACTGGCATTTCTGAAAAGAGTTATCACAGGTTACTAACCAGAAAGAATTCTCTCTTTTGTATTAGAAGTGAATACCCAGACAGTACTACGTTCAAGAAACTTGTACTAAAAGCTTTAACAACGTCTGTGTGATTTCTATTAAATATACAAACCTAACAAGGGAACTAATGAAGTATATGCAACACAATGAAGTGGCAGGAAACAATCCTTGATGTTAAAAAAAAAAAATTAAAGAAATAAAATAGCGTCTTGGAAAATGGCAGTTTTGGTGCTGGGCAGGGAAGGAAAGCAAAAACCATAAAGCTTAACTTTACAGATATCAGGTTTTTTGGAGACTGGCTAGTCTAGCTCCCCTGTGCACATTCCCATATTCTCACAAAAGCCACTCCACCTCTCCCTGTATCTTCAAAGCTGGTCAACACATGAAGGATTAGAAGAATTACTTTGCTCCATAATCTCTTCTGCATTCAGTGCACAGGCAACAAAAGGAAGTTAACAGTCACAACAATAAGGATAAACATTCATAGCAAGTCTCATTACTTAAAACTTTTAAACACTTGAACTTGATTATGAGGTTTAAGCCCTACAGCTATATTTTCTGGTTGTTTTACTGCATGCAGACTAGCAAGGCTAATTCACAACTGGGCAATGAGAGAGCAAGTTCTACCAGGTATAAATTAGCCATAAAGAGCTGCAAATGGTCTCATCCCAGGGAGCAAGACTTTAAGAGACAGACATCCAGAGCCACAGGCTAGCTGAAGAAACTCTCTGAGCACCTTCTGGAAAGAAACCTTCACCCCTACCCTCGTGGTCTCTGAATATTTAAAAACTGTCAGACTTGGCCAGAGTACAAAAGCATGGAAGGAAGTGAAGTCTCGTTGCAATGCCCAAGGACTTCATCTGCTGAAGATGCAGCCACAGCAGTTTGTGGCAGAAGCTAAGAGAATAAACCTGCCCAAACTGGAGAGTGTGAACTATGAACAGAGGAGTAGGCTAAGCATTTTAAACTGCAAGACTCTATACACTCAAATGGTAAGAAAGTGGCCCCTGAAACGTCTGATGGGAGCATGGCCTTCAGCAAAGCTACACGAAACAGCACATCCTCACCACCTTAAAAGTCATTCCTTTGGGTTAATCCACTTGGGTGGACAAGAGTTAGGTGCTCAGAAAAATCCTATGGGCATCAATTACTTGTTAGAAAAAATGTGTTCTACTGTTAAAATTATTTATATTTTCTTTCAAAGTAAAAGCTCCCCCAGCAACACAAAGATGCTAAAAAAGTTAGTGGAAAATAGATTTTGATAAAGTATTGATTTTAGACACTAGAAGATTCCTAACAAGCAGTGACCAGTAAATTCAAGTTGCTCTGTAAATCATTCTTGCTCTCAGCAACAGTGCTCACACCCAGACATGCCATTAAAGTTAAAACATTTTTCATCAGAAAACAGATGAAAGACAAATCTTGTTATTGAAGGTTCAATTCTGGAAAGCACAAGTTTTCAGAGATTACACTTGCTTATGACCTTGGAGGAATAAGCCTTAAAACTCCACTCCACTGCAGCAAGATGAGCACACATTTTGATCTGGCTTCTATTTTAAAGGTTTGGTTATTTAACAGATAGCTCACGTTTCATAGCTTCACCTTGATCCCAAAAGAGGTCAAGGACAGAATAGCATAACACCTAATTAAATAGAAAAAAGACATCTTGTAAATAAGAAAGACAGTGATCCCATTCTTAAAATTAGGGCCCTGCTCTGTACCTTACTGAAATATGTAACTGGCTTCATTTGAGCTGGGAAACAGCAGCATATTTTACATGAGTTGCCAAGAGTGCAGTTTGCAATGTTTCATACATAAAGAACACATTCTAGAGAAGACTGGTATTAACTCCTACTTACCCATAAGGCATAAGAAGAACATCCAACATAAAGTCCAAAAGCAGCTGTACAGTCTTTGGTTTTTCAGCAAGATTAAATGGAGAAGCTGCTGCTTTCAGTGGTTCAGCAGGGTATTTCATGTGAAAAAGGGTTGGTATTAGAAGATGCATTAGGCTGAAAAACAATTATATTTACTGCAACCATTTTAAAAAAAACACACCTGTTTATTCTTAACATTCAAGAGAGAAACCTTTAACAACAAACCTTGTCCTCTTTAGCAAAAACAAATTTAACAGAAGTAAACTGATTCACAATCCAGTGGCCTCTATTTGCCACCTCATGTACTTAAAAATGGAAGGAAGAAGATAAATTAGGATTTGCACTTAAAATAGAACATATATACCTGTGTGCATGTAGACACACACACACACATCTGGTGAGATAAAGTCGCTGCTTTTGTCCAGATTTTTAATGTTTTGTAATTATGTGAGAAAAAACAGTCTAGGACTGCCTCATCCACAGGAAACGTAAAGCTTTAAATCTGAGTCTGCCTAGAGCAGAAGTTGATCAACACTGTTCAGCTTTACCAAAGACTGCACACAGACAAACACATTGATTATATACCAGTACAGCCAGATTTCCCAATGCTCTCTTCACTCAGATACCTGCTTTTCAGACAGGGCAAAACCATGGGCCCAGAGAAGACTATCAAAATATTTTCACACTGATTTCATGAATGGAAGTAAGATTTTACTGCAAGACCTTTCAGTAACATCACTTTAAAAATATTTTTACACTGTCACAGTAATGCAGAGTGAATGAAGATATGATTTCATTGTCATTTTTCAGTGCCAGCATGGTGGAAACCCATCTCAATGTAAATAAGAAGTAGGTCCATAATCAACAGTTTTCTAGAAGTTCTTAGTACACAGCAGTCCCCAATTTCAGTCTTTTTTATATTTATTACAACTTAGTGTTTCAACTGAGTAGGAATTTTGGTTATCTCACAATTTAGAGTGGCCAATCTGAGACATTTACTGCTGTTCCTGTTGCTGGACAGAGGATATTTACTGAAGGTCTGGCCTTAAGGTGGAAACCAGAATTTGATGAAGATGGATGGGCAATACGGACAGGCATATTCTGTCATAACACAGGCCTCTTACACAGGGAGTCTGCTTCTGCAGTTCCTGTATATTAAAACATTAGACTGTATGAATTCTTTGTACCACTCAAACTATTGAATTTCTGATCCAGACTGTAGAAGCCAAAAACATCCTAAGCAATGAAAGCATCACCAAGGAAAAAAAAAATCTTTTACCAAGCTATACAGATTATTTTACTAAAACAGTATCAGCAGAACTAACTACACCAACAACTAGTTATACCTGTCTTGCTGTGGTTGAGGTTTCCCCTCCATTGCAGTGAGAAGAGTTGGAGCCAATTCACATTGTTTTTCCACAGGCAGACGGGGGTATCCCATCTTAACATAAATAATGGTAAAATTCTAAAGGAGTAGAAAAAGCACATAGTATTGCAACAGTGCAAAAGAAGTATCTGGTCTTTATACTCTTCTTTTATATTTTGTTAAACAATTGTGTGTTGGAAACAATGTATGTTTTGTAAGATCAATTTTGTAATTCTAAGGCTCACTGTACTAAGAGCTATTTAAAAGGAAGAAAACAACAATGCAAACCAAACCCTCTCTAGCTTCTTATTCACTGCCAAATTCACCAAAAGCAGTTTTATCTGAGCAACAGCTTCAAGGAAAGTAAATGTAATGCCCTCTTTGACCTATTTCTGAAATAAAATAGAAAGCAATATTGAATAAATGCAAAGTCAGCAGCATAGGCAAGGTTTCTCTTGAAAATGTGCTTCTAAACCATCATACTTAAAAGCTGCAAAAGCAATCCAAACAGAGCCCAGTGAAAGGACAGCACAGCAGAGCAATACTGAATACTGGACTATCTAACTGCTATCATGTTGATCCAAATCCAGCCAAGAACTGTAAAGCTGAGTTACACGTTCAATGACCTGGCTGAAAGAAGCATTGAAGTGGGAAGTATTACACTTCTTTGTAAATGACACTTGTAAAATTTTTATGATGCCTTATGGCACAAAACAACATGCAACACTCAGATACATGAATGAAAACAGATTTTTGACATGTCCAGCCAAAAGTACAATTCATGTCGTTTGTCTTCAAACAAGAAGGTTCTTTTACTGCTCTATGCAACATATGCAGTCTAGAAGCCATTTCTAAAAGGTGAACTCTGGATAATCCCACTTGCTTAAAGAAAATCTGAGGTTACTTCTGTGTTACTGTTGTTTAAATTCTAAACGTTTCCCCAGCAGTTTCTAAGACACTACGTGTCCTATTTATGCAACATATGACTGAATACTCAGAGGAGAAGGACAGAAAGTTTCTCTCTGATTTTATCACTTTTATTCATGGGATTTGTAATAGATCTACCACAGCTGAAATGAAAACTAGCTTCATAGTTTCACAAAAACATTTTTAAACTATTTTCACTTTTTAAACTACATTGAATGAAACCATCAAGTAAAGTTTCCCCATCCATAAAATGATGTTTTTTTCATCTCTTCTTGCTCAGCTATGGTCCTGACCCTAAAAACACATAAAAATACCAGTTCTCATGTGTTCAGAGAAATATGGATGTTTTAAGTAAGGCTCTGATCCTGCATGATGCTTTAAGGTGCTGATCCTGCACACATCAGGATAAGGACTGGTAGCTCCTTGCAAAACAGAGCTTTAAACAATGAACAGACCCTCTACAATACAAGAAATTACAATTTCTATATTCACAAAATATCAAGAGTAATTATCAGTAATTTGAATAGAATCTATAGTGTAGCTGCTTTATGAAACCAAGTTTCACCTGCACCAGACTATAAACTTCAGTTTAAACAAATCTCTAAAAAAAGCCTCATTACAATAAAATACTTGCTAGGAAAATTGCCAGAGCTAAAGACAGGAGCTTTACAGAATACTCTGCTTGTTACAAGTAAATCAGCAACTATTCTTGGAAGAACAGACACTTACAGTGACAAATGACACTGCAGAAGGATCTTGATACTGAACTAGCAATGTCTCTACTGGAAGCTGAATTTTTGGACGGCTTTTGATGCGCTTATTCAGATGAACCAGCAGCTCCATGACCTGACAGGAAGAAAACAAAAAACTTGAAAGAACCACCATTAATTTTACTACTTTGGACTCCACATATCACCCTCTGTTCACTAGGCAGGCCTATTATAAACAGATCAGGCCTAAGTTCTCTTAGAAAATAGCAGCCATCATTTATTGTATTATCCTGAAACCACCCCGGCATGCCTCAAATCACCGTTAAGACAAATACATAAAAAGTCATAAACCATGCCACAACTGATAACCTACATCAACAAAGAAAAAGGGAAAAAGGGAAAAGGGAAGAAAAAGGGAAAAAGGGAAGAAAAAGGGAAAAACCCCACCCATAATAAAGTTATCAAATGAGTGTGTGAAAACTATGCTTGTAGTGGAACAAGAAAGGACTGACATCCTTCAGACAAGAGGAAAAGCCAAGGGGAGCCTTGTGAATGTCAGTCAGGAGCACTGTGCAGTCCTGCCCTGGGCAGGCCAGGCTCCAGCAGCGATGCCAATGGGGCAGCAGCAGCTCTAGGGGAATGGCCCCAGGCTCTGGTGGACAGTGAGATGAGCAGGGGCCACAGTGTGCTGAAACAAGAGACGTGCAGAGTGGTACTTTATCACAAAGAGGACTCTCAAGTAGTGGAGAAGGAGCCCAGAGAGTTTATGCAGTCTCTAACCTCTGAGGTTTTTCGAGACCCATCTTGATAAAACCTTCAGCATCCCGGTCTGAACTTGTAATGGACCCTGTTTTAAGCAGGAGGTTGGTCTGAAGACCTTCTGAGGTCCCCTCCAAGCTGAACCAGCCCATGATTCTACAAACCCATGAAGTAGTTTCTTAGCATAGCACCAGCAAAGCATTACTTGTAAATCCACTAAACGAGATACCATAAATGAATGGAAGAACTTGAAAAACTACAATCTCCACTCTGGAAAAATGGGTTCTAAGAAATCACACTGAACATCTGCATCTAGCTCACAAACCCTTTCAGATTCTCAAGAAAGGTGGTGCAAAAATATAAGTGGCATTAATTGGAGTCAGCTCAGCTCTAGTAAAACCAGACAGAGGCAGTCCTAGGTGCATGCTGACCTTGAGCAACTGAAGTCCAAACCCATGGTGAGCACACTGTCCTGTGCTTTTGACAGTTCATTACCTTTGTCATGGTATGGTGACAAAGCAACTACACTGCTGTCACTTAAGCTGGTTATGGCAACTGCAGAACCATATTCTTGTTGAGCTCAATATGAGCTAAGACATTATCTTTGCATCCACTCCATGACTAGGTATCAAACAAAATTTGCCCAGATATAATCCAGGTAAAATGCACAGCTGACCACAAGCATGTGACTGAGAACAGAGATAAGCTGACAAATTAAGTAAAGCTGACAGCTACTAGATTTTGTTGTTGCAAAATTATTGTAACAGCAGTCACAAATTCCTAATATTTTACAGAGGAAAAAACATGTGCACACTTTTTTTGTGAAGGAAGAGAAACATATGACTACAACAGAGTTTGAGGAACCTCTTCAAATTAACCATGGCGGTTGGTGTAAAAAGACATGGCTGGATTTGGGTATGTGTGAGGGTCAGCTAATGTCCAGCTTCACTAATCGTTAATTTCAAATCAGTGCACTAAGGATCTCATCCAGCAGTACTCATCTGAACTGAATCAGGCAAATGTCAGAATGATTGCTTCTTTTTTTTTGTTTTGCTGGCTTCACACGGGCTGCATAAAGTGAAACAATATCCAGGCTGGCACAAATGATGGCAGTGCATCAGCATTCCTGGAGCACATCTAAACCAGTAGAGTGAACTTACCCTGGATTACTTCTTCATGTGAGCCTGCTAGGGTAACTGATTTGGTAGAACACACACTAGAGTTGAACTTAACTCATCTGTCAAACCATGGCCTGAGGAGGGATTACCTTTTCAGAGTAAGTGGATTAAGAAGGCATAGGCACTGCAAGCTTACCCATATACCCAGACTACATCCTAGATCTGAAAACATATGAGGACAATGAGTTCAAGTTACTGAACGAGGCGGCAATACTGACGTGACAAGTCACAAAATTAAGGGCAGGGATAAGACCAATAAAATAGTATCTTAAGGCAGTGGGAATAAAAATGGAATTTGAATTTCCCCCTTCCATTCTAGCAGTACAAGCTTGAGAAGAAAGTTAGTATAGGGAGTGAGAGTAAAATTAGAGTGTAGTCAACCCATATGGTGTACTGAATGAATCACATTGTGCTTCTAAAGTTGGGCAAAAGGAAGTCCTCGAACAACTGTATTGACCTACACTTCAGCAGTGTACTGGCAACACAGAGATGTTCTTTAGTGCTTATACACCTATGCTATCAAAAGCTACACCATCAATTAAATTAAAATAGTTTAAGTTTTCAAATCAGAATTAACTATGTTGGCACACTTTTTTTGTTGCTGTTGTTCTATTGCACTACAATAACTGCAGGAGAGAGACATGGGACAGCAGAGTTTTGTCACTGCCTCTAGTCAGTCACTGGGTGACTTAAGAGTTTATCTTTCTCTTTGCATTCTATTTAGTCTACTTTATTAGCCTTTATTAGATTAGTTTTGCAATTGCCTGAGTGCTTACATAGAAAAACCATATGCTTTTGTTTTATTTACACTGCTTTCACATGATTTTGAGTCTGGAGTTGAACAATATACACATTCCTTGTTGTCCACCACGCAAAATTAGCACTAGAAAGCTAGGTATTTGTGTTTAAAAGTAATTAGCATTTGAAAATGTATCAGACTTCTTAAGATATTTTCCCACCACATTAATGGTAAAACAAGAACAAGCAGAAGATTGAAAAGCTGAGTTCTGATGTAAGTAACAGAAAAAGGCAATGTGCCTGTTGAACAGGTTTACCTGCAGGTTATACACTCCACAGTAAATCATCACTGATGTTTATTACAGTAAAAATCTGATGGTCTTCCCCTCCCCTCTGCCTCACTGGTAAGTTATTTTGCTATGTAAAAAAATACCAAACAACAAAAAAAAATTCAATAAATACAGAGCCTTCCTGTTACATTTTGGATTTATTAGGAAAACAGAATACTGAGAGAGTCGAATTCCCTTCACTGATACAGTAAGAGCAGAATTCCGGGTCATTTCCTTGACTGCAATGAATTTGACAAATACCAAGAAGTACAGGGAAATCCTGTAATTGCTTATAGTATTATCAACATCTTGTATAGATAAAAATCTATAGCTTAAACACATAGAAAGAAGAACAAGAAATGAGTTTTATTTCACTATTCATTCTAACACGAAGACTACAATACAACCTAAGAATGCCACGTCATTTTGAGAGGCCTTTTAAAGTTTCATTTTCAAAGTAGTCCTCCCCTTCCCTGAATCTCACAACACTCCAAAAAAACAGATGACAATTACAGTTTATGGAAAAAATATCATATAAAATACTCTAAGAAATTTCACTAGCTAGTTGGATGCTCTTCTTCATAGCTTCAAGTGCACATGATAAGCAGGTATTCAGAATGTGACAGTTTAACTGAGCTGGCAGCCAAACAAGACACAGCCACTCACACTACCCCTGTCTCTCCCCCCGTACCCAGGGAATCAGGGAGAAAACTGGAGGGGTAAAAGTCAGGAGACTTGTAGGTTCAGATAAAAACAATTTGAGTAAAATAAAATTAAAATAATAAGAATTATAAGAGTAATAATGATAACAACTATATACATATATACGAGTGATGCAGAGTACAGTTCCTCACCACTCACTGATAATGATCCCAGAGGAATGAAAAGGAACCCCCGAAACCGAAATCATAACCCCAGAAAAGCGAGCCCGAGCAATTCCCGAGAGAATCCCCCCCTTTCCGGTCAGCCCTGGTTAATATACTGAACATGACACAATATGATATGGAATATCTGACTGGCACATCCAACTGTCATTCTGGGTGTTACTGACTGCTACACTTTCCTTCTCCACTCCCCCCTTCCTGTCCTCTCTTCTTGGAAACTGCCCGAGCACAGTGTCCTTGTACCTTATCAACATTGTTCTCATAACAATCCCCACTGAAACCAAAACACAGGGCTTTCTTGCTGATAAGAAGAAAATTACCCCTATCCCAGCAAAAACCAGGACACAGAAGAACCTTCCATCTGAGCTGGAGTATCTGTCCTTCAGCACAGTGGAATGGTTTGACATCTACGGATCCACTTTCACGTGATCACTGCCAGGACCATGTTTTGTGCAAAACTTTTAGGAAAATCTGTGTTCTAGTTACTTGCAGGTTCTGAAATCTACTTATAAATCCAGTGAAGGCATGATCATTTCCCTATTTCTACAAGACAAAGAGGGGATTATAAAAAGCTTCTTTTCTACCACCACTCCCCAACGGTCCATCTGCACTCAGCTCAGAAAGGTTCTGTTTCACCTCTATCACCAGGCAGCTCCCTCTGATGAACAGCTGCAGGGACAAGAATTCAACCTCTGCTTTCTGATCCGGCTGCTCAAATCTCTTAAATTCAGCTGCTGCTGCCCCATTTGCCTCTTCTGGTGACATCCTCCTGGCAGCACATGAAACACAAGCAGGTGTTCCTCTGCCTGAATCCAGACCAGGTCAGATCTCTTCTGCCATTAACACTAGGTTTAGCTATCCCCTCACACAATCCCACAGCTGCTGTTGCACAGGACTTGTGCAAGAACACAGGCCTGGGGAAAAAAAGACCTGCTAGTAAACAGAGTTCAGCTCCCTGCTACAGAAAGCAGCTATATCACTGAATTCCTTCCTGTTTGTATTAAATTCCATCTTCAACACTGTTTGGTCCTTGCCTGGCCACAGGAATAGGGAGAACAACCAAGTACATGGTGTCAGGGAATGAGGGCCAGGCCCAGTAGCCCAGCAGAGGGGAGGCTGCAGCAGCTCCACACCCCCAGGTCCAACCAGGAGAGGCACACATGCACCAGTGGGCTTCACCCCTAGAGACCCACACTTGCTCCTCCCCAAATCACCTAGGTCCATCTCTTTCCCCACCTTTGTTTCCTCCATTAAACATCCCATTAGAAGGCTTGTGCAATCCCAAAATGCTCTTCCCTTGCATCTTCCCTGTGTCGGTCACCAAGTCAATTCCTCTGCATCCCACCGCAAACCCCTAGATAGCACTCTCTCAGTCCAAAAGGTGTTCTCTCCTTTGCAGGTGCGCAGACAAGCTTTTATCCTATAACCTAACACAGGGAACTGAACTCCCCATGTACATATTGAATTCCATCTCCAAAACTGTTTGGTCCTAGCCTGGTTACAGGTGTAGGAGCAAGGACCAAACAGTTTTGGAGATGGAATTTAACATCTACCTAAATTAATTCTGTGATAAATCTGCCTTCTGTACCAGGGAACTGAATTCCTTCAGGTAGGTATCAAATTCCATTTTCAAAATTGTTTGGTCCTTGTCCTATTATCAGACAAGTGAACGACACCAATGAGTATGTGTTCATGGTCTTTCCACATGTGCCATATGTCAGAGGGATGCACAACAGCCCTGACCTGGAAGCCACGGTAACTGCCTCTGTGGCAGTAGGTCTTGGCCTCAGGCTAGCCAGCTTCAAGTGGAAAGAAAAGCTCTCTCCACCAGAGAACGCTGAAATGTAGTAAATCATGATATGTCAGGGGCATTTTATTCTCCCCAAACAGGAAAACATGCCATTGTGGTAAATCGCACCCTTACCTTTTTACGAACTCCTTCCTGTGTGCTGGACAGCTTGAGGAGAACAGGGGGTAGGAATTTGGAAATAATGTTCTGTAACTGCTCGTCTGTTTCTGCATGGCCAAGACGCAAGAACACACGTTCAAGTTGATCTGCAGTTAAAAAAAGAAAAAAGAGAAAGGGAGAAATTGGTTGAAACTCAAAATCGCTATAGTAAAAAATCAGCTTTTTCTAAACATTCCCTAGTGGGCTTGTAAGAAACGATGCACACAATTCTTAAAGAACTTCCATCTCAACAGCAATCAACAGAGATCCATCTTCTATTTTTAACACTAACTGAGCAAACTGTTGATGGCAGAAACCAGCCTCATAGCGTCTAGAACTAGCCTCTACAATTACGTACAGACCATGCCAATCAAAGGCAGAAGCAATTAAGATTTCCTTTCCTTCACACTGCATTTCAAATAAAGGCTAGAACATATCCAAAGGTGAAACAGAAGGTTGGGATCTCCAAGTAATTTCCTGCCCTTTCTGCTGCAGCAGAAAAGGTACGTGGCTGTGGGGCTGACAACTTTAGAGAATATGCTTGATGTAATCTGCATTCAGACCATGACATTCCATCTGTCCACTGGTTAATTAGAGGGCAAAAAGAGCTGGCCAATTCTTATTATTCTTGTTAAACCCAGGGTTCCTGTCATTCATGGGGATCCCACTGTTGTAGGCACTGTGTCAACAGAACAAAAAACACCAGGTATGTACAACAGAACCCAAGAACAATTACAGTTAGTACTGCAGAAAAGAAAGAGACTAGGCAAAGCACAAGTTACAAGCTTGGGGCAAGGCACACCACGGCAGCTGTGTACAAATAAACAGGCTGCACACCTCAAAGCACAAGAAACAAGCTACAAAGAAAAAAACAAGTTATTTGAAAACTTGAGGGTTCCAGGGTAAATTTGATACTCATGGGAGTATTCATAGGACATCTCGACACAGGCTAACCCTTTCTGCCCGCCGCTTTCTGTTAAGCCTCTTAGGTCTTACAGAAAACCTTTACCTAGACATACAAAAGTTGACTGAAACAGTTACTGATTTGTTACAATTAGTTGACTTTTTTTTCCATAAGACAGCATTATCATCAG